AGAAGTCAACTTTCTCTCGCGTGGAGGAGGAAGAGCTCGCTCGGCTCGAGACCGAGAAAGAGAGAGGCCAGGCGTGCGAACGCGAGAAGGAAGGGAGGCAGAGCTCGGACGCGGAGAGTGGGGAGTTAGGGCTTAAAGAGGAAAAGGGGAAAATAGTTTTATACAAATTAATATATATATATATATATATACATATATATATTAAATTATATGCAATTTACTCCCACGTTGCGTCGTAACAAAATGGGTGCCTCCCCTAGGCAAAATCGACGTTCTGGACGCGCCGGTGCAGTCTGTTTTGTCATCCGGGGTTGCTCGGACGACGTCGTCGACAATCGGGTCAAAAACACGTCAAAATTCAAATTTCACAAAATTTCGACCCGTGATCGATCGTCTCAAAATGTGTACTCCATTCGACAGGTAACAGTGCAGGCAATGCGAATTGCGGCGGTCGGACACGTCGACTCTCCGAATTGCGAAGTTTATGCGCGCGGGAGTGTGAATTGTGCAGAAGGTCACCCTAAGGCTCAAAAGGTCCTATAGGAATCCCTTTTGGGTTCCTCATGTTGGTTTCATAGTGTTAGCTAGAAGTTGATACCACACACGCGAAACTCCAGAAGAGTACAGAAGTGGGTTAAATTTCTAAAACAAGGCGGGTCCCATTTTTAAGGTTCTAAGATAGTCGAAGGGAGATTCCTAAGGCTAGATCCTAAACCCTGAGCGGAAGACTAGACCTCACTAAAAATGAGATCAACACGCATATCATACGAAAAATGCAATTATTTTCAATCAAATTTCTTATCATGTCACTTTCATTTATATTTATATAATCGGTTTTAATAGACAGCATAAAATCAGGAATGTCGTCACTCTGTATGCCTGTCAATCATACTAGCCAAAATCCAAAAAGATTATACCAACCTACATACAATAACACACAAACATGTCAACTTGTTTTCACTGGTATAATATATAAGAAGTATGTAATTTTACACAGGCTTGTGATATGACATATACTCATATGCAAATTTATAAAATGCAAGAAAATGCAAGAAAAAATAGACACTATAATTGCAGGATTATTTAAATATGCAACGATAAATTAAGGCAGTTGGTAATTTCGTCATGAGCAATAAACTAGGTCTACAACAAGTGCAACATCATAATTGAAATAGTAAGGACAAGACTGAAAAACTTAAGAAATAGATGTAATTCTACTATAATTAACAAGGAATAACATTCTTAACTAGAAATGTTACATTTATCCTCCAACAAACAACAGTTACTTACCTCGAGACGACAATATCGACACTTCTAATTCAACTGTGTAATGGGCGATCCTACACAGTTAGAATAAAAAAAAATATAAATAATTATGAAATTAAATTAGGTAAAATAAACTTTTATTTTTTTAATTATTATATTTTTTATTAAATTAGTATTATTGTTATTATATTTTTAAAAGGGATAATTTATGAATTTAATTAATATTAATTAAAATATGTTTCAAATCCTACAGTTCTCAAATCTCGTTTCTCCTCTGTTTTGTCTTAAATCCCGAGTTAAAAAGCCCCATTGGGAGATGGATTTACGAAATTTAGAGAGGTTGTGGCCTGCGAGAGGGAGGAAGGCAGAGACAGAAGGTTACATTTCTCGATGGTCTCGGGTATGAGCGACGGAAGGAAGAGGAAGATGGGATTTTAGAGTTTGGTGGATTTTGTAAGTTACGATCCCATCGTTGTCTTCACTTATAGCTCCAATAGCGAATTTATCACATGGGTTCAGTCACAAAGGCAATGGTTTCGAGCGAATTGAGAGAGCGAGAGTAGAGGGAGGTCGGGAGGAGATAAGGGAGAGGAAGCGGGAGGAGGCGAGGTGGGGAGTGTGATGCCTCTGCCCTCCCAAAATAGTCACGGGAGGCAATAAACAAGCGATCAATTCGGGAAGGTTGTAGAAGACGGCAGGAAGATCAAAAAGGAAAGATCAACAACAACAACAACAAAACATTAATCCCACTACGTGGGGTCGACTACAACACGTTGCTTCCAGGGGACGCTCTAGCACTTACACAATAATCAAAAGGATTCATATTATGGTTTTTTCAACAAGTTTTACGCTATTTGTCAACTACCTAACGCAACCCTCAACTTTTTAAATTCAGGCTTGGGACCAGCAATGACAGTGTTAACAAAAGGAAAGATCGAAAAAAAAATTATTTGTTAAGTCGGAAACGATTAACGAAGAAAAGGAATCACACATAAAGGAAAGAAAAGGTAAGAAAAAATTTTCAGATCATATAGTAGTCTATGATAAATGTATCGTCAATACCTGCAAAGTGGGACTACATCTTCTTCAATATCTCTGGTCCAGAGAGACCACTCCATTTGGACTGCTGTGATAGGGTGAATGAGATGTGCACGTCTAATTGTATCTGGGCTGGCTTCAGAAAGACCGATGAATTTCACCTTCCCCTCCTCAACCAACTTCTTGAGCTCCCTAACCTGCCAATCCAGAACAAAAAAAAATGCTAAAATCACCAACAAATCATCTAAGGGCTTCTTTGGGATTTTTTTTCTTGTGCTTTTATTTTAAAAATATATTTTTTTGGTGCAATTTTTTGCATATTTTTATTTTTATTTTTAATAAATTAATTGTTTTTGAAAATAATCAAAACATCTAAAAGTTGTTTTCAGTGTTTTTAAAAACAACTAAACATGTTATACCATACCAAATATGTTTTGTTGTAAATCAAAATGTAAACAAAATAAAATAAAACTAAAAAACTAAAATAAAAAATCAAAAGTATCCCAAATAGCCCCTAACATAATTGAGAAATGCAACAAAATCATGAAATTTTTGAGTTCCATTAGTGCTCACTGTCTCCTCTATAGGCACAGTCCTATCAATCCTGTGTTGATAATATAAATCAATGTAATCAACACCAAGCCTCCTGAGACTCGCCTCGCAGCAAGATCGGACATAATCCGGCCTACCATTCACAACCATCGTTGTTTTTTCGAGTTTTTCAATACCAAATTTTGTAGCCAGTTGAATCTTTTCCCTTGGCAATTGTTTCAAGGCCTGTGCAGATTGATTCCTTATCAAAATATATGAATTGTCCATCGCTTTCAAAACTATTATATATTGTATTATAAAAATAGATAAAGGTCGGGAAGGAAACCAAACCTTGCCAATCAATATTTCATTGATATGAGGACCATATATATCAGAGGTGTCAAAGAAAGTTATGCCTCTGTTGAATGCCTCTTTGATGATAGATAAACCAAGTTCTTCGGAAACAGCAGGGTTGTAAACGCCAGTGAGACCCATACATCCAAACCCTAACTTTGACACCTATAAAAGAAGAAATAAATAAATCCAGTTCACCAGACAAACAAAAATACTTATAAAAACAATGAAGGGGTTGAAAGTATGAGAGATTAACAATGCAATGAATGCTATATGAACACCAAAAATGAGGTAAAGTTTTCCAGAATATTTGGAAAAACTTCCAATAGCAAGCTAACTTAATGAAAAAGAGCCCCCCTTTTTGTAGATGTACAAACGAACCCATGTAAGGATAATTGTTTGACTTTTTGTGTGAATAAGGAAAACAACAACAAAGCCTTAATCCCACTACGTGAATAAAGACAACGAGAGTGGACAAAATTCATATATTTAGGGATCATTTGAGATAATATTTTTTTTTTTGTGCTTGTATTTTACTTTATTTATATTTTAATTTGATATAAAATATATTTAATATGTTGAAGATATATTTTTTATGTTTATTAAATGTAGCATATTTAATATTAAAATAAAGTTGGTTAGGTGGCGATGGTGGGTGACAATGGTAGTTGTATTAAAAAATGTTTAAAACACCAAAAAGTTATTTTGAGTATTTTTAAAAGAAGTTGATTAACTTTTAAAAACAAACATGTTAAAAATATATTAAATAGATATATTTTTAAAAACAAAAGTAAAGTAAAAATAAAAATAAAAATAAAAATGATCCCAAACATTTAGCTAAAATAAAATAAGCACTTTTTGTTTAGATACTCAATTTAGATCATATGACAATTAATCATGCAATATAAAAAGTGAATTAAGATAAGAAGAAGAGCTATAACAGGCATCGCCGCAATCAAATTGCCTCCCAGCTTCAGAGATTCCCACTGTCCTATGTCAATTCATGTTCCTATTGCAACATTCTTAACCCAATAGTTCCAGCAGATATATATGTTAGAATTAATACACATAACAAAGTAAAGTTTTCAGCACAAAGTAAAATTAAATAAAGTGGCTCGTCATGCTTCTTTGCAAGCAGTGCAATGCTTTAAGTACCTAGTTTAGCAACCATCATTTTTTTAGCAATAGCTTCACGTTCATTAGATTCCCAAATATACAACAACGCCAATTAGTAACAACTAATCAAGGCTAGATTTAACTACTAATGAAGCAGCCAACAAATAAACATTGATAGATAAAAACATTTGGGAAAGCACCGATAAAGAAAAATTAATTTACTTTCATTTTAATTACCTTATTATTATTTCAAGAGAACATAAACAATATTTATATTAATTGAAGGTATATAAACTATGTCAAGCTATTTATCGTCTTAATTCTTCAAATCTTATAAAAGCCTAGCCAAAGGTATGTCATGGTGTTGATTATAATTTTTTATGATAACAAACACATTATAAGTAATGTCTATTATTTTCTAATAGAGAAATTTCAGGATCATGTGATTATCTATATCAAGGAATCTTGGGTCTCAAGATGATCAAAATAATCTCAGTTATCCAAAAGCTAAAGTTCGATATGCTCAAATTAGAATTATGATTTATGTTTAACTGATTATATTTATTAAACTATAATAAAAAAATAATAATAAATTTTAAGTTATTGAATAATTTAGAACTCGTTAGAAAATCTTCAACAAAAATGTCACATTCTTATTTTATGATTTTATATTTGGAAATTATAAAATCTAATTTCAATAACTAAAAGATTATTTTCATCTGTTGGAATTACTTTAACAATCCAAGAACAACAATAACAACAACAACAATCCTTTATCTCACTAAGTGGGTCGGCTACATGAATCTTTTTTCTTCATTGCGTCCTATTGAGTGTCACATTTTCATTTAATTCTATTAGATTAAGATCAGTTTATATACAATATGCCCAAGTTTTTTAAAGTATACCTCTGCCTTTCTTAACAAAAGTCAAATCTAAAACATCTACTCTCCTAACCAGAACATTAGATGGTCAACATTTAATGTGAACAAATCATCTAAGATGACTTTCTCTAATCTTGTCCGCCGTTGAAGCTAAACTAACCCTATCAAGGATATATTCATTTCGCATTTTATCTCTAAATGTCAAGTCACTCATCCACCTAAGCATTCTCATCTCAACAACACTAAACTTTGTTTTATGCTGCTATTTTAAAGGCCAATATTCTACGCCATAGAGCATTGCAGGTCTCGCTACCATCTTATAAGTTATAATGAAATTACTTTCGCAATCCAAAAAAATAAAAAAAATCACTTTATTTTTTGTCAAGTAAATGCTATTAACTTAATGCTTTAACGTTTTTTTTTTTTAATAAATTTATGTATTATTTTGTTCATTCGTTAAAACCATATGAAGGGTGGATCATTACTTACCATTTCTTTTCATGCAAATCCTATTGCATACGCTTTTATGTGTTGGGTTAATATGTTGTAATTTATTCCCATTAACAAATATGAAAGAAAAAAAACAAAGAAAAAAGTGATGAAAGTTATTTGGATGAATTCACATAGTGAGACCAGCTCCAATGAGTCAGAGAAGGAGAAAACAAATCTTTGTCATATGACGGATCATGAGGATAACTCGACAGACGTCCATGAGTATGTGAGTGATAATGATTGATATTATGAAGACTTAGATAAGACATTCAATGAGTTGCATGGTGAGTACAAAAATTAAAGAAGAAACACATTAAGCTAGAAAAAGATCATGTATATTTAGACACTCAATATAATAAATTAAAAGTTAAATATGAATCATTCAAAAAAATAATAATATTTCTAAAAATATTTCATGTGATCATTCTACATTAATTTCAAAATGATAATCAAAAAATAATTACTTAACACAAAATTAAATTTATTGTTAAAATCTCACTTGAGTAGAAATGTGTCATTTAGCAAATTAAATATTAAAAATCATACACACACTCTTATCAATCGTCCACATCATTATCACTAAATACTCAAAATTAGACTAGGATGAATATGAAAAGATCATAGATAACAAACTTTATAGGAGCATGATTGGTTATCTTTTATAAGTCCCTGCTAGTAAGCTTAGCATTATGTTTGTTTTATGTGTGCTCATTTTACAGCTAACCCGAGGGAATCCCATTTAATTGCCGTTAAGAGTATCTTTTGATAATTGATAGGTCGTCTAAGTCGGACTTGTGGTATCCCAAAAATTTGTTTTCATGTGATAGATGCTACTTTCAATGTTGATTATAGTGATTGTAAAGTCGATCAAAAAGCACCTTTGGAACATGTCAATTCTTGGGATCATCCCTTATATGTTGTTCTTCTAGGAAGCCAAATTTTGTAGTCTTTTCTACCTCAAAAATTGAGTACATAGTTGTAGGTAGTTGTTTCGCTCAAGTTTTTTGGTTAAAACGATAACTTGAAAATTATCGACTTAAATTAGAAACTTACGGATTAAATGTGATAATACTAGTTCTATCAATTTAGCTAAAAATTCAATTCAATACTCACACACTAGACATATTGAGATTAGACATCACTTTAATAGAGATCATGTTACTAAAAGTGATTTTAATATTTAATTTGTTCCAACTGAATTACAATTAACTGATATTTTTACTAAACTTTTAGATAAAAATAGATTTTGTGAACTTCAAAGAAAATTAGAAGTGTTAGATCCTAGCTTATGACTAAATGATTTTTTATGTGATATTTTTTGTGCTTGATCATGCCCTTTTGATGTTGTCAAAAAGAGGAGAACATATGTTGGGAGTTTAAACTATTTGATTTCTTTAATATGCATATATTAAGGGGAAGGATAAATATATGTGGATTAAAGTCATTTCACACCTTATTCTAATTTAGCCAACATAGGTTTGTCATCATCAAAAATAAGGAGATTGTGTTGGCTCTATATTTTTTTATGATAACAAACACAAGATTGGTAATATCTAATATTTTCTTATGGAAAAATTTCAGGATCATGGGATTATCTATATCAAGAAAGTTTGGATCTCAAGATGACCAAAATAAACTCAATTATGCAAAAGCTCAAGTTCCATATGCTCAAACTAGAATTATGATTTATGTTTAAGTAATTATATTTATTAAATTATAATAAAAATAATAATATAACAACAACAACAAGCCTTTAACCCACTAAGTGAGATCGAGTACACGAATCCTTTTTCTCCATTGTGTCCTATTGAGCATCATATTTTCATTTAATTCTAATAGATTAAGATCATTTTTTATATAATAAATATGCCCAAGTCTATGCCCAAGTCATTTTAGGTCTACCTCTGTCTTTCTTAACATAAGTTGAATCTAAAACATCTACTCTTCTAATTGGATCTCTACTAAAACATAAGTCAAGCAATAATTTGATATCTAATAATAAATTTTAAATTATTGAATAATTATAATAGACTAAGATAATTTTTTATATGAATCCTTTTTCTCCGTTGTGTCTTATTGAGCATCATATTTTCTTTAGTTCTAATAGATTAAGATCATTTTTTTATATAATATGCCCAAGTCATTTTAGATCCACCTCTACCTTTCTTAACATAAGTTAAGTCTAAAACATCTACTCTCCTAACCAGATCTCTACTAAAACATAAGTCATGCAATAATTTGATATCTAATAATAAATTTTAAATTATTGAATAATTCAAAACTAGTTAGAAAATCTTCAACAAAAATATCACGTTATTATTTTAAGATTTTAGATTTGTAAATTATAAAATTCTTTTTCTTAAAAGTTAAGAGATTATTTTCATATGCTAAAATCACTATAGCAATCCAAAAAAATTATAAAAATATCACTTTTTGGTCAAAGTAATGGCTATACTTTAATGCATTAATATTTTAAAAACCAAAAATCAAAAATGTATTTTCGAAACCAGTGCGAACAAACCAAACTTGTTTGGTTCAATTAGGTTTTTCCGTTTTGACCAAATAATTTACACCCCTAGCTATTTGATGAAAATATTTTCATCAATCTGCCAATTACTAAGAATTATTTTACAAATTTCACCCGAATTTACACCGACCAAGCACAAGAAAGTTAATCAGAAGCTTATCAAACATGTTAAAGCATTAGTCAAATAATAATCCAACTAATGCAGTAACATTTCCACAAACACGTCATGAGATTGGGGAAAAAAATATAGGTCACTAATTTTTTCTACATGCGAAAGCAGCAACACCTCTTAATGATCGATCAAAGCACTCTTGATATTTGATTATCCTTATCTGATGTGAATTTTTTCATCAATATGCCAATTACGAAGAATTTTATAACAAATTCACCAGAATTTACACCACCCAAGCACAAGAAAGTGAATCGGGAGCTTATCAAATAATCATTTAACTAATGCAGTAAAATTTCCGCAAACACAACATGAGATTTAGATAAAAAAAAAGTAAACCAAAGAACAATATAGATAGAGTCAGTCGATACCTCTAATCCGTGAGACCCCAGCTTCACTTTGGGGATTAGTATTCTGCTCTGCTCCTCCATTTCTTCACCAAACCCTCCGTAAGATCTTCACCTCTGTAGTACTGTTCTTCCTCTGCGCTCACTTTGGGCTAGCTATGTCTGTTAAAAAAAAGGCTCGGCGTGCGGAACTGAGATAAGCTTATCCCACTGCTTACTGCTTGGCTTATTAAAATGATATCCAGGATATTAACCACAAATAATATCTCAATAAATTTTTAATAACCTAACAATACATTCCGCGATTTGATATTCATTTTTTTCATGTCATTCACGGGCTTCGTAAGTTTATTGAGAGTATTAACCTCGATAACAGTGACATATCCCTGCAATACTCTTCAAATAACTTTTATACGCACGAAATGCGTATGATATACGTAAATATTTTTCTACTATGTCAAACTCCAGAAGAGTTGTCAGATTGGGTACTCGCGCCAATTGAATATTAAAATTTAGGCGCTAAATATGTAAATACATAAAAATTGAGTGGGATGTTTGTAAATACTTTAATCTTATTTTTCAAACATAAATCTATTTTATTTATAAAATATTGAGAAATAACTTTTTATAGTCATATATATGCAATTTATATATATATATAATAGACTATGATAGTGGTACAAGTTATCCTATTTTTTCAACGTTAAAATATATTATAATACACGGAATAACTTTTAACCTTTTTTTATTTTCAGCACCATGATTTTATGATAGCTTTTATAGATGGTTAAATTTGGGGAATATTTTTCACTACTTTACCTTCAAATTGTTGCCTCTCTTTTGTTTAATTACTATTTTTTATATTTTATTTTTTTATGTATCATCAAAAAATTTGTATTGTCATTGGAAAAAATTTGAGCAAGAAATAATTTAAATTCAAGCTCGATATCATCTAGCCCGAATTTCAATAAATTTATAGTCCAAGCGAGTGTTTTGACAAGATGAATTCAATGACACTGAAATTGATCTGATTTGAATTTAAATCAACATAAATTGAACATTTAAAGGCTTTGTTGTATCAATTGAAATGTTAAATTTTATTAAATTTTGACATTTTTATAGTCAGATCGTGCGCCTCGACAAGAGAAATCCAATGAACCCACATTCAATTTTGATGTCAATATGACACTTAAATGTTGAAAAAAACTGCATGTGATCAAGATAATCAATATGGATCGTTCGATGGAGTCTTTTGAGTGATGGGTTATTTTTTTTCAAATGCCCCTCTAAAAAAATGTAAATAGGTCCTCGTTCTTCACTTGAGGGGGAGTAGAGGAGTGAGAGAGTGGGTTTACTACTAAATCTTAAATCTTGAAATTTTGACGATTGTCGCCTACTACTAAAGTTCATTGTAGAACCCCATAGTTTGTCGTCGACGACCAAAATTAGTAGGCCATCATCACCATTAATTTGTTGCGACCAACTACAATCAATTACAACATTTGTAGTAAACTACGACTATTTTTGTATTCAGCGACATCATCTTATAATCTCATCTTTCCAAATACATGATACGAGTGAACCTTTGTACTGTTGATTACATAATGAATTACCCTTGACTGGGCCAAGCCACATACTTTTTTTTTCCTTTTCAAGTTTTTTCCTACGTAAAACATATGATTTTTTCTTACAACTTTGTATGTGTTTGTGTTGAAAAATTATACTAAGCTAAGACATAAGACCTGTCCGGCGTTAAAAATATTCTAGCACGCAACAATTTGGTGTTATCTGTAGGAACTAAAAACTCACCTTTATAAAAGTATAAGCACTCTTTTAATAGCCAAGAAGTGTAATATTTGAAATAATTGAACATTATGCTCTAATACCAACCATTCTAAGGGACAATCTCGTAGTCAGAGACAATAAGCCTCTACATATTTTCTCTCAGATGGGCATCACCATGCTGGTGAAGATGCCTCTTCTTTGCCCCTAGTACATCGTATGTGGAGAAAGGAGAAATCTCAAAATAAGAATATTCAGTTTTCAATGTGAAGCTCAGTAACTAGTATTAAGACAAATGAGTGAGGTTCATCTACCTCAATATCAATCATCAAATCCTAAGTCTGATTTGACTCCAAAGATTGTATTTCTTCATCCACTCCCTTGAATCTTTAACTTGAGTGACCTCCTCAAAGCACTTTGTTTCACCACTATCATTTAATAGCAAATAATGTAAAGAAGGAGAATACATTTGTATGAGTTGTTTCAATCTGCTGGATCTTCTGACTTTAGTAGCAGGTGGTTGAGGAACTTTCAGTGCTCCTTCTGCCTGCTTCTTTCTCTAACTTCCTGATCACCAGTATCTTCTATCTCCACATATTTGGATTCTTTAGAAGTAACTGAAGAAATGTCCTAAGTTCTGACCTTGTTCTTGTATATCTCTATTTCGTTGAATGTGACATCCCTACTTCTAATGAATTTCTGATTCTAATAATTCTAAAACTTATACCCAAACTCTTCTGTGTCATATTTTAATGAAGGTGCACTTGAGAAATTTTGATTCAAGGTTACTCATGGACCCTACATCAATATGCACATATGCAGAACACCCAAATACTATTAAATGAGATAATCATATCTTTTTATCACTCCGTACTTCTTTAGATAAGCCTTCTTCCGAAGATATCGATGGACTGTGGTTTATCAAATAAATTGTTCTGTTTACGACTTCTGCCTAAAATTATTTTGGCATACTTGCATGTAGTTTCATGCTCCTAGCATGTTCCGTGATCGTTTTGTTCATGTGCTTAGCTACATAATTTTGTTGTAGTGTCCTTTGGACAATAAACTCATGCCTGACCCCCTCTGCAGCACAGAAAATTATGAACTTCTGATCAGGACACTTACCCTCATTATCTGATCCGAGACACTTTAGCTTTAAGTTTATCTCATTTTCTATCATAGTCTTTCTTCTCTTAGATGTTTTAAGTACATCAGATCTCTAATTTAAAAAATAAACTCAAACCCTTCTCATATGATCATCAATGAACCTCACAAAAAAACGAGAACCTCCAATGGACTGAATTGGAGTAGGACCCCATACATCAGTATGCACTAACTCAAGTTTCTTTGATTTCACCACTTGCTCACCATTGTATAAATAAACTTGCTTGCTATAAATATAGTTTTCACAGAAATCCAGATCAACTGATTTCAGACCATGAAACTTATTATTTGAAAGTAGTAGCTTCATATATTTCTCGCTCATATGACAAAGCCTACGCCGCCATAGACCTGCATCCAACCTAATCCAACCACATAAATTAAATCAATCCTTTCATTGATCAGATAAAGGCTGCATTCAATGTTGCCCAAGAAATCACTAATGCCTTCCAGGTTACCTTACACAAATCACATGTGAAAGTAGTCACGAGTCATGACTTTTGCAGCTAGCCCATAGAGAGAAAATTTGTCTTCAAACTAGAAACACGTCTGACTTCAGTAAGCTTCCAGACTTCTTCATTTAGCAACTTGATATCAACATCACCCTTTCCAACTTTATTGTAGACCTTGTTATCTCCCATATAAAACTTCCTTGGATCACTCTGACTATATTTTTTAAATATCACTTTATTGGAGCAAGCATGAAAAGAGGCACCTGAATCCACTATCCAGGATTCAGTGTTGACTAGGGATAACATTAGGGAGTCATTTTAGATTTCTCCTGTGGAGACATTAATAGAGAACTATTTTCCTATCCTCCATTGCTAGCTTTTCTTAAAGCTTTGCAGTCCTTCTTGAAATGCCTCTTATCGTAGTTCTAGCATTCTCCTCTACTTTACTTGGGCTTTCTTTCTTGGACTTGGATCTATCTCAGCTTGTATTCATACCAAGATTCCTTCCCCTGTTATCAGCACTCAACGCAGAACCTGAAGATTCGCCATTCATTGTTTTTTTGCGAACTTCTTCATTCAACATCAAACCCACCATATCATCAAAGTTCAACTTCGAAGCCTATCAAGTCATCCCAACTTTTTGATAATGAAGATAGTATCACCAATGCTCACTGGTGTTATGATCTCAACATCAAACTTGATTCTCATAGAACACACTGGTTTATTACAATATTAAAGTTATTGAGATGCCCAACCACTTAATTGTCTTTCACCAGCTCTATGTTGAATAATTTCTTCATTAGAAAAAACCTTATTAGAAGTAGAAGGTCATTTGTACATCTTGGCCAGTGCCACCATGATATCCACCATAGTTTTTTCATTCACAATGTTGAACGCAACAAATGAGGTAAGTATCAACCTGATCAATCCTAGTGTCATTCGATCCAATAACTCCCATTCCTCCATAGACATAGACTCAAACAACCTTGTGTTTCTTTATGGTGGTAAGTATAATTTTTTCTAATACAACAAATCCTCGGTTTGCATCTTCCAGAAAGTAAATTTCACCCCATTTTAAACTTCTCCACTTTGAACCTTATTTTTTCATCCATTGCACCCACTCAAATCTAACCCCGATGTGATTTTGGTTTGCTAGGGAAAACTACTGCGAAGAAATTTCCTTTTAGTTTTGCTACGGAATAAGATCAAAGGATTCAAAAAAGTTAGAACAAAAATTTAAACACAAAAGCACAATCAAAGCAACTACAAGAGCACGCAAGGATTTTGAGTGGAAAAACCTGAGAATGGAAAAAAAAACACTGAGCCACACCACCATAAATTTCACTATGAAATTCTGAAAGTTTTACGAATTACTCACACAAGTTTCTTCTCCACAATCACATGAGAAAATTTACAGGACTTGAACCAACAATCATCTCTCTCTGATACAGCACAAAAAGTCACACAGAATCACTGAAATCCACCTCTTCGACACTCCTCACATTCACTGAGATGTTTGTTGAAGAATTCAGAGAGAAGAAAACATCAAGCTCTCTGATCCACACGCAAAAAAATGGCTTAAAACCCAATTTATCGTGTAGTGACCGCACCGAGCGATTAGGCACCCAAACTTGACACCTAAATGCTAAGTGCTCTGTATCGACGCCCCATAATAGGAGCTAAAGTGCCAACATAAGCGTCAATAGGCACCAGTCTCTCAGGAATAAAAGCAGCATCCCATCTACAGCAGGCACATATGCGCCTAAAGCCGGTGCCAAGGCACCGACTCTTATTTTCGAGCAACACCCAATTGTGGACTTAATGCCCACAACCTGAAGCATATGCACCGGGTGTCTTGTGCTCGGGCTCCACAACTCAACAATAATTTATAGATGCAATAAAAATTTAGAATGTTATAAGCATCAGAAGATATGTATATACTAAAAAAATCTTAAAAGGCTAAGAGCCTTACAAAATACATATACGCCAAAAACATATTAGAATTTTATAAGCCTCATAAGGTACAAATACATTATATTTGAAAAAAATCTCAGAATGTTATAAGCATCGAAAAATACAGGTGCACTAAAGAAAATCTTAGAAGGCTACAAGCCTCATAGGATACATATATATTAAGAAAAACTAAAAAAACTATAAATCTCTGGAGATACAAGTTATTCTCCGATATTAAAAGGCACCGACCTTAAAAGGTATAAAATATTTATATATAAAAAAAACACGTGCTAACTTTGAGTGTATATTTTCTACTTATTTGAGAAATTAAATATTCATCTAAAAAGCTTACATGAGACCAGCCTCATGAGAGTTTGATGTCATTGTACTCTTATCGAATGACAATATCTTAATTAAAATACATTGGATTCCTTATAAGACATAATAATTTATTTTTTGTGCAACTTATAAGGAATCAACTAATTCTTACAACGATCAAGAATTCATGAAGCATCAAAATCATAAATTTTAGTCAAGCTAGTAAATTCAAAAGAAGTCTAGTCTTAAAAAATATACAAAGTTCTTCGCTCAACACGAGACCACCATGCTCTAAAGAAGCATCACCAAATGCTTTTGGGAATCTTATATATTATACCTATGAAAATAAATTTGCATGCTTGTGTGTGAATTTACATCTATCGTATTATACCATTTCTTTTTTTGCACCTCACTTATATGAATTTACTTCTTTCATATGAAAAGTATGGATGAAATATTATAATTCTTACATATTATACCTGTGGAAATAAGTTGGTATGCTTTGTGTGAGATTGTATGTTGGGTAGTGTAATCCTTTTGGATTTTGGCTAGTCGGGACAATGAACCCATAGAGTGACGGCTCTACATAAAATCACTGGGTTTCCTTGGATTGATATTGACCTTTCTAATTTCATTGTGTATATCAAAACTGATTATATAAATAATAAATGCAAAACTAAATCATAAGAAACTTAGTGGTAAATGATTAAATTTTTTCTTGTGATATGCACATTTGATGTTTACCCCTCTTATTGTCTTACAATGTTATATATGCACGTAGAAATTATCGTTATTTGTTGTCCATATTACATGCCTTATTACCTTTGTTATTTATGCTCTATTATATGACTATTATTTATTGAGTTTGTTTGTCAAACTCATTCTTTGATATTTTTGCAAAAGAAATTTTATTTAGCCGCCAGCATGACCGACTCTATCGGAACAGACTTTTCAATTTTAAATTTTTAATTTTGATATTTTTTTCTTTATGCTTGCTTTAGTTATTTTTCTTTTGGGTCTGAGTAGTTGTTCAATGTTGTTATTTTGGTTTGATCCAGTCAATTTCCTGCATTCATTTCAGTTGTACTAGTGCAATATTTATTATAGAATAAAAATTTGCATTTCTTGGTATATTCTTATTATTTGCATGTGAATTTTCTTTTTGAAAAATATAAAATAGATTCAATTCATTTTATCATGTCCAACATTACTGAGACGTATTGTTATCCAGACCCGGTGTGTGACACTGCCTCTCATATTGTAGGATTCTAAGAGAATCTCCTGCCCTATAAGATTTTCCTGTTCCATAAACTTCTACAATCTCATAAGCAGTATTTAGTAGGATTTCCATCATTCTCCAGAATAATGAGATTTTTTTTTTGCTTGTTCTGCAGCTGCCGGATTGCAGACCCTTGTTATTACAATTTTAAAGAGTTAATTTTGTTTTCAAAAACTATATATTGTTTTTTTTATTGGTTAGATAAAATATTGTCTTAACGTTTATTTAATGGATATTGTATTCTCAAATTTCTATCCTAGGGAGACTGTATCCTTTTTCTTATTTTGCAAGTGGTGTGTTTTAGCTTGCTTAGGAATATTCGGTGAACCTCCTTGATGCTCGTTTCACGTAGTTTCATCACCCACCTTGTTATTTTCAAGAGAGATAACAATAGAACAACTTAAATATGCTTCCCAACAACAAATTTCATTATTCAACTAGGGCTGTTAAAAAACTCGTTGTTCGTGAACAGTTCGTGTTTGACTCATTCGTTAAGTAAACGAGCCAAACACAAATATTTTTTTAAGCTCAATTTATAAACAAGCCAAACAAGAACAACTCTTTGTTCGCTTGTGTTCGACTCGTTTTAACTTGAAATAAAAAATAATAATATAATTATTTATATAATATTATATTATATATATTGTTTATATAATAATATATTTTATATTTTTATATTTAAGTTTAAATCATAACAACTTGTGTGGTAATGTGGTTATGTGCATTCTTTTGCATGCATTTGGTCGAGGTTCGAATCCAACACTCTAATTTTTTTTTCCAATTAATTTTAAAGAGTCAATTCCAAGTCGAACATGAGCCAAACACGGACAAGAAAAACACGAACAAGAATATTTAAATCGATTTGAACACGGACACGCTGTTCACGGGCTGATTTCAAACCCAAGCAATTTTATATTTAAATCGATTTGAACACGGACACGCTGTTCATGGGCTGATTTCAAACCCAAGCAATTTTGAACAAGCCAAACATGAGTCAAGCCTGAGTTCGCTCAAGCTCGACTCGTTTTACAGCCCTAAACCCAACATATTTCCTTCATTTGTAATTTCATAACCACATTCACCTAAACACGCTTCCCAAACACGTTCTGAGAGCCCTCTAATGAAATACTATTTGGTTGAGCTATTCATTCCCCCTTCCTTCCATTGATTCTTTATCATATTTGTAAGGAGTTGATTCCAACTCATTCTTTATGCTAAATAGATTCATAAGATATTATCTCAGTCTTTCTTTGACTTAGAGTATGTGAAGTTTTTGACTTAAAATATGTGGAGTTCATTTGGACGATGCAATTGATGGATTTTTGATAGAGATTTCTTAATTGAGTTGGGAAGACTCTTCATGGTCAAATAGACTCAGAGTTTAATAACTCGAGGCTATGCATCTATTCAACTTTGATTGGACTATGTCCACTTATATTTATATATCTATTATCTGTCATTTGATCCCTATTTGAACTTATTATATTTCTTTAACACATTCAACTAACGTCGTTTCATAAGCCCTATTTTTCGAGCTATTTATTCCCCTTTCGTCTTGTTATATTGAAAGATATGATTTTTGTTTCTAGACTACGGTGGTTGGTTGTTATTCCGGTGGGGTTGGATGTTCTTCGTGTTTATGAATTTCATTACGTTTGGGGTTGGCTGTTTCTCAGGTTTATGATGAGAATGTGCTCGGAATTTGCTGTTCTTTGGGTTTATTTATTTCAATGAGAGTTGGTGTTCTTCGGTGCTCGGGTTGGCTGTTCATTGGATTTATAATGTATTACACATGAAAAAAGTGTATTTCACTTCTTAAAAGGTTAAAACAGTGTCTTTTTGCTCTAATTTGAGAAATTCAGTGGCCTAGATATAAAAATTTACTAAAAGTGCTAGATGTGTAATTTATTATGAATTGGATGGCATGCATGTAAATGTCCCACTAATAAAATATAAAATAAGTGAAAAAATAAGTGATATGCTGATATCCCAATAAAACAAAAACAGAAGTCGGAAAATCCTCTTCCCCAGGAGAAAAATTTGCATGCATAAGACGTACGCATCACTGTATATATAATGGAAGTTATATTCACGTTATATCTATATTATATCCGTGTTATATTGCCTGCAACCTCCATATAACTTTTTGTATATATAATGGAAGTTATATTCACGTTATATCTGTATTATATCCGCGTTATATTGCCTGCAACCTCTATATAACTTACATGTAACCTACTTGAACTTATAAATAAGTTTCACTCTTATATTTACATGTATCTATAAATTATATACAGATATATGAAAGATATAACGCAAATATAATCTTAATTATGTACTCAACGCTAAGTAAGCGGTACTCAAAATTTTCCCCCTTTCCACTTATAGCGCGAATATAATCTTAATTATGTACTCAGCGCAAAGTACGCTTACGTACTCAAAATTTTCCCCTTCCGCAGTCCCTCTTCTCCCAGCTTCTACTCCGCCCAGAAGTCGCCTTCCCCTCTCCTCCCCATGGCAGCGATGAGCTCATCGATCAGCCCTTCATCGACCTTCTCCTCCACCTCCACTGACAACCTCCGCCCCCATGCCGCCAAAACCGGCGGCAGCGTCTGCTGCCTTTCTACCCCTTGCCCAACATCACCGACCACCGGCATCTCACTAGTAAATCTCAAGAAGGTCGCAGCTATCAAGGCCGCCGAGTACGTTAAGAGCGACATGGTTCTAGGTCTTGGCACCGGAATCACTGCCGGCTTCTTCGTCGCTGAAATTGGAGCCCTTCTTTCCGCCGGAAAGCTCCGTGGCATCGTCGGCGTGCCTACCTCTAAGCGTACATCCGAGCTTGCAAAATCTGCAGGTATCCCATTGTCTAACCTCGACGAGTACCAGCGGATCGATCTCGCCATTGACGGGGCAGATGAAGTTAGTTAGTGCTCTTTGATTTGTTCAATTTTTCGCAAATAATTTGAAATAGCTTTTTCTGGTGGTTTAATCTTGAATAAAAACGTGCCGCGCATGTATTTTTAGCGGAACATTAGAATAGAGATATATATAGGAAGCGAAGGGAAAAATTACTTCGAAAGTTCTTACATACCATCCAGATGGAATCGAAATAGCGATTTAAATCTCTCTAACCCCCCAGCGATTTTATCTCAATAATATGAAATTCATTCTATAGCCATGAATCTCTCGACTTGATAACCAACCTCAGCCGTACTAATTTGAAAATTTATTAGTTTGAATTATTTCAAAATCTCAGCATAATTCAAATGAGCTGCTGAACGGCTATCTTGAAACAAAATTTTTTAAACTTTTTTTTTTTAATCAGGTAAAACCTTTGTGAAATCTTTTGCAACTTGCTCTTCTACGTTACATGGTTTTTGCTTCACAACTCATCGAGCATGATCTCACTAATGAAATGATATTGAATTTGACTTTGTTTTCTCATTTCCTGATGAACAATATTCCTTGCCAAATTAATGATAGATTTGTTGTCAAGAAGCATCTGCATTGTCTTCTTTTGCTGCTTCTTTAGGCCATATAAAATCCTTCTAAGTCAGATTGTATGAAAGATGCAGTTGTTGCAAAATATCTTCACTTTTATTGATTGGAAATATTGTAAAATATTGTAATAAAAGGCCTATAGAATGTTCTTGATATACTTTAGAGCTTAGGCTTAAGAGATAGCATGCACCACCCATAAGGGCTCTTTTGGGAGGTGACATTGGCTTAAGAGATAGCATATTATATTACTCCTATAATCAATGCAACTCGGCCAATCTTGCTAAAAAAATAATTCAAATTGAAATCTATGACTTTTCTTATGATAATGCCAAAATTGCGAGTGCCTTTAAAACATATCAAAATCCTCTTTGGTGTGCCAGAATGATGCTTACTTTGATTGTACATTAATCTGGAAATGATACTGACTTCAAACATAATATCTAAAAGCAATGACAAATTAATTTTGATAGAACATCCTCATTGTCTCCTTTTATTTATCCTTTAGGCCGTATAAAATCCTTTGAAGCCAAATTGTATCATAAGATGTACTTGTTGCAAATATGTATTCAACTTCAATGCATGGATGTTATAATAAGATCCTTTTTGGATGTCTACAATAAAACTTCAAAGGTAATGCCAAAAAGATAATATGTTGTATTCTTCCTATCATCAATTCAATCTGCCCAATTTGAAATGAATTGCTTTTTTATACTTGATGCCAAAATTGAGCATGATTGAATATATGGGCATTTACATACATAGTGCACAATTCTTATTTATCTACATATCTTAAACCAAAACTTTCATATTTAGACACATAGTACTCAAATCTTTAATATCACATAAAGAATAACACCATTATCAATTTTTAAAAGTGAAATTCTCTCTTTAATGCGTAAGTTTAAAGCACGAAAATGAATTGTATTTAGGTGTGAGATATGTAAATGTATAAGAATTGTGTGCTACGTGTGTAAATTTCCCTTGAATATATTTTGAAATCCATTTTGCTGTTCCCGAATGCTGCATATTTTGACTGTGAATATTCTTTAAATGATACAGGTAACTAACATATTTTAAGTCAAATTTTCTTCTTGATGAGGCATGCATTTAAATTTCTGAATAGCTGATAGAACATTACTGGAAGTCCATAAATTAATCAGATTTCTTTGAGCAAATTTGTTTGTTTGAAATTAAAATTTATATTTAAAAAATGTTGATTTTACTAAACCACATCTAGCTGGATTTTGTTTGAAATTATTTCATTTTTAAACTTTACAAATATTTTCGGAATATATCAAATATTTTCGGAATATATCAAATATGGTGATTTCTAGTTTAAAATGAATTACAATGAAAGCTTGAGCTTTTAAAATATGTGTCATATGTTTAAGCAACCAAATGAGCCCTTATCGTAATATGTTTCAATGATTTAGTAAACTTAATGCCTTCTTATGGCGGAAATTATGTTAAGGTGAAAGGCTAGTCTTTTGTCGTATTTGGAAGATGGGCTCGCAAAAATTGGGTCGCCTATTTTTTAACATTGAAGTCATGGTTTTATTAAGGGTCTGTTTGGGGCAGCTACAACTTATACAACTTATCCAAATAAGGAGCTTATTCTGATAAGCTGATTGACTATTTGATTTTTGCGTTTAAGAAATTATTGATTTGCACCTGTTTCTGAATAAATGACCATTGTGTTCCTGCTCAGGATAAGCTGTTTGGTTTGTGCCTTTGAAAAACAACTGATTTGCAACTTTTTCTGGATAAATACCATTCTGACACTGTACAGTGTTGCTGTTTGCAACAAAACTGTAATGGGTACACATTTGATAGTTGATAACCAAAAAAACCACTCCATAACAATATAAAAAAAAGATATACATCTCACTTAAGAGCGAGTATCAAAAAATCTAATAAAAAAGTAAAATATTAAAATTACAATTAAAAGTATGATAATATTCATTTTAAAATGCAGAAAAAGCATGTCACGAGCAACGTTGTCCGGTTGGGACACCATCGAACCTTGAGCAATATTGTCTGGTTGGGATACCGTCGAACCCCGAAAAAGCTGTCCGATTGGGATACCATAACAACGTTGCTTGGGTAGCAAGTTACCTGAAATGCCTGCAAACACAGTCTAACTTGGGTTGAACGCATGCTGACCCACACGACAACCTTCTTAAACATTACGTCCAATTTATTTTCCAAGTCCGGGTCAATTTCACACACCTTAAATTTTTTTGCAGCTGATACTGCCTGACAAAACAAAAATGATAATGAGAAAAAATACATATTAGTCCACCATTATTACCTCTAACTTCTCAGTCCACCATTTCTCTGAGACATCAATGATACACTTAATTGGATCCTAACCCAACTCAGTGGATCCCTGTTTCAGCTCCTTCCATAACTTTCACTCCTTCAATTGATTCCACTTGTTTTTGAATTTTAGCCTATCATACTCCAATCAATTCTTTAAACTTCTTCGAGATATTTTGCCAAGCTTCCTTGTTAAAGTATGTGGTAGGTCTATTTCCAATCTCAATTTCTTTAATGTAAAGATCATAAAAAATATTTGTTACTTTCTTATCCCACCTTGCTGAGGGACTCCCTTCTTTCATCTTAACCTTGTTGGAACTAATTGAAGAATTGACAGCTAAACAAAATAACTTAACATATAACAAACTCAACATGTTAGACCATTATAAAATCAGAACGAAAAAAATTCGAATTAAATACCATTACAGAATGACAAATAAATAAACATAAACACAATAAAAGAGCTTGGAGAAAGCCAACACAATCACATGAACACCATTCACAACCACCCAAACCATCATAAACAACACTCACAACCACCACACACAAGTGCACCTCACATCCACCATCAACCCACACACCCAAGCCATCATAAATTGCTCTCACAGCCACCACACACAAGCACAGCTAACATCTACCACCAACCCACACTCCCAAGGCCAGCAGAGCACACCCAAGCCACCATAAACACCACTCACAGCCACCACACACAAGCACATCTCACATCTACTACCAACCCACACAACCATGGCCTGCATAGCACACCCAAGCCACCACACACAAGCACAATTAACATCCACCATACACAAGCACAGCTAACATCCACCACCAACCCACATACCCAAGGCCAACAGAGCACACCCAAGCCACCATGAACACCACTCACAACCACCACACACAAGCGAGCCTCACATCCACTACCAACCCACACACTCATCGCCTGTAGAGCACACCCACACCACCATAAACTGCTCTTACAACCACTAACAGCCACCACAACCAAGCACAACTAACATCCACCATTAACCCACACACCAAGGCCAGCAAAGCACACCCAAGACACCATAAACACACACTCACAACCAACGTAAACAAATTATCCAAATAAAAATTTATAACAAATTATCCAACGTTCGCTATAATTAAATGCATATCAAATCATTTTAAGCAGCATAGACACTCATATCAAAATTTGATGCAAGCTAAATGAATTCTTCGCACGAATTAATAATTGTTAAATGGTAGATACTGTTTTTTTCATTTTTTCTAGTACAACCAAACTATCACCAAACAAGATAATCCATCCAGTATTCACTGTCCCGGTTGAAAGAAAAGCACAAAATTCACAGTCACTATAAGATCATTTCATAAACATTCCACCTTTTTTAAAGAAGATATGAAAGAGAGAATAGTTTGATGTTATCCATAATATTCACTGTCCCGGTTGAAAGAAAAGCTTAAAGTTCACTTCTATTATAAACTACTCAATGCGGAATGATCAATCAAACTAGAAGTAGGAAGTCATACAGCTGCAACCCTTTGAATTTTCCAAACAGGATAAAAAGGAACCTCCATGTAAGCAATCAATTTCTTACAGGATAGCCAAAATAGAGGATTGCACAGATCAAGCACCCCATATCAATGTCACTGATCAAACAGGGCCACCTCAACCTTGCAAAAAAACTATTGAAGCCACATCAAGCCAGTTAAACATTCCCCTTTTTTTTATTTGCACATTTCCATAACCAAAATTTCCCAACAAACGATGGGATCAGAAGCCACAGAGGGCAAACTGGTGCGGCCCAATAAAAAACCACAGAAATTAATCTAAGAAAACCATGAACAAATCTCGATCTACACAATATTTGGTATCACCACAAACTTTCCAAAGAAAATCATGGGATTGGAAACCGCAGAGGGTAAACGAGAGCAACGAAAGGAAAACCACATAAATTAAACATATAGGAATAATATTGCGAGATACCAGATGAACGATAGGAAGAACCGAGGGAGAAGAGAGGGAGAGTGGGGATGGAGAACCAGCCTAGGGCAAGTGCGGAGCGACGAGGGAGAAGGACACTAGAAGGTATTTGCTGATCAAACACAACTCTTCGAAGCGGGAGGCGGGTAGATCCTGCGGCCCGCTTCCTTTAATAAAACGTTCACGCCGTTTTCAAAACGCTCGCTGAACGCTCGAACCAAACAACATTTTGGCGTTTTAAAAATGCTAAACACAACAATAAAGCTGCCCCAAACGCACCCTAAATCATGAAAATTGCTTCTCTTCAATTCTATGTTAAAACAACTCAAGTTCAACTCAGCGAACTACTCATTATTAACTGCTCGGATAGATAATATATGTACTTCAAAGTTATGTAAGTATATATGTTTATCATTCCTCTATTTCAGCTGACTTTTATACGTCTGTAATAGTTTTTAAGTATTGAAATTTAATATAATTTGAACCTAATGAGCCTGAAGTGACCTAAGCATTATGCAATTGTTTTTAAGCATTGAAATTTAAAATAATTTGAACCTAATGAGCCTGAAGTGACCCAAGCACGAACATGACATTTTCTAACATAATTAAACACAAGCCGAGCTCAAAGAAAACAAAAAATGAATGAGCTTACACTTCTGTCCTAAGGGAATAGAGTTTATACTTTATCTTCTAAGATTTTTATTTTCTTTTAAATCCAATTTTCTTTTTGTTGATCTTAACAGGTAGATCCCAATCTTAATCTTGTGAAGGGACGGGGTGGTGCTCTTCTTCGAGAAAAGATGGTTGAGGCGGCATCCGATAAGTTTGTCGTGGTCATTGATGACTCGAAGCTTGTGACCAGCTTAGGTGGAACTGGGCAGGCAGTGCCAGTGGAAATTGTGCAGTTTTGTTGGAAATACAATCAGAGCAGGCTACAGGAATTGTTTAAAGATGAAGGATGTGAGGCAAAGCTCAGATTAGATCCAGATGGAAAACCCTTTGTTTCTGATAATTCGAACTACATCGTGGATTTGTACTTTAAGACACCAATACAGGATTTAAATGCAGCAGGAAAGGAAATGTCAGCGTTGGAGGGAGTGGTTGAGCATGGTTTGTTTCTTGACATGGCTGACGAGGTCATTATTTCTGGGAAAGAAGGTCTGAGCATGAAGACCAAGTGAGTTTTGTGGTGATTTGATTTGAGGCTTCTTTGTTTTTTATTTAATTGTCAGAAATTTTAAAAGCTACTTTTTGAATCATTATGTTTATCCCTTTTTCCTAAAATTAGTTTTGTATAAAATAATTTCTAGGAAAAAGATAAAAAGAATTATGTAAATTTTTTTGGTTAAATAGACAATGTTCTGGTTGCTTATTCAATCACAAAAAAAATCAAATAACTGTCTGAAGCGGAGCTTGATATCAAAGATCTTAGGCCAAGTTGGACTTTTTTGGTTATGTAACCTTCTTATTTAATGGTTGGGCAATTTAAGTTGAGTGTTTTTTGAAGATTTAACTCTAGAAGTCATTGATTGAAAAAAAAAAAAAAAACTCTAGGGGTTGATGCCTTTCTAGGGTGTGTAGAAGGTGTTTTAGAAGCTCGTTTTGCGGGGAATTGGTTATGGAACAACAATGAAATGACAATCGGGGTCATCGGCGGCGTTGGGAAGGATATAGGAAGCAAAACTGCTATAGGACAGCAGGTGAGCCAAGTGCGACGACTGTCCGGACTGAAAACAACAACACAACAACAATTTTGGGGGGTATGGGCGGTTGGACAACCAACTGGAAGCATTAAATTGGAGGTTTCCTACCATAACTAGTAGGCAGCAGTGGTTTCGACGGCTGGTCGGCTGAAAATCAGTAGGTAAACAGAAAGATGTTGAGTCCGGGACAGTGGAGAGGATCCACCACATATTCCTAGACAAGCTACAGTCACACCACATGCGAAGGAAGAGGTTACAACACTCCAGCATGTAAAATTTAGAGAAAATGTTTCTTAATTGATAAAATCAGAAAACTGAAATTCCAAACAATCTATTATAATATGCATAGAAGTCCCCTCATAGTAAAAACCTTATTAGGAACTGAGGAAAAAAAGTTAAGAACCAAAAGGGAAGAAACAAAGAAAAAAAACTTGCTAAAGAAACAGAAGAAAATAAACAACAACAACAGACCTTTATTCCACTATGTGGGGTCAACTACATGAATCCTTTTTCTCCATTGTGTTCTATTGAGTGTCATATTTTGATTTAACTCTAATAGATTTAGACCATTTTTTATACAATATGCCCAAGTTTTTTGGGTCAACATCTGCCTTTCTTAACATAAGTTGAGTATAAAACATCTACTCTCCTAACAGGATCTTCAAATAGTCGACGTTTAATGTAATCAACCATCTAAGACAACTCTCTCTAATCTTGTCTGCAAATGGAGCTACACCAACCCTTTCACGAATAGATTCGTTTCACATTTTGTCTCTAAGGGTCTGTTTGGGGCAGCTACAACTGTTTGAAGAAGTAACTGTGAAGCAGCTGTTGAAGAAATAACTTTTCAAAAAGCTGTTGTGACTATTATAAATCTATTTTATTTTCAAAAAGTCTGAACGAGGCTTTCTGACAACCACTACATTTTAACCGCTAAGGTTGAAAAAACTGTTTTTTAACACAAAAATTTCTAAAAAACAACAATAAATCAGTTCTAAATAGAACTGTAGTGACGGTCTGAAAAACAAAGTAGGTAGAAAACTATCTTTAACAGACCCTAAGTGTCAAGCCACTCATCCAACTAAACATTCTCATTTCAACGGCACTTAACTTTGTTTTATACTTCTCTTTTGAAGGCCAATATTATGTGCCATAAAGCATTGCTTTTCTCACCACCGCCTTATAAAATTTTCCTTAAAGTGTAAGCAATGCTTTTCTATCACACAATAAGCCTAATGTATTCCTTTACTTTAACCAACTAACCTAAATTCTACAAATAACATCCCCATCTATATCGCCATCACTTTGAACAATAAACCTGAGATATCTAAAATGTTCGCACCTTTTAATGATTTGATCACGCATAGTTACAACTTTGCCATTATAACACTACTACTAAAATTTTATTTCATGTATTTAGTTTTCAATCTACTCAAACGATGACCTTTCAAATCCAATGTAGACCTCCACAATTCAAACTTTTTCTGAATCCTTTCTCTAGTCTTATCCACAAGAAGGATATCATCAGCAAAAAACTTACACCAAGGTTCATCCTCCTGCATATGTCCAACAAGAGCATCCATAACTACAACAAAAGGGTATGAGCTTAAAGCAGATCTATGATGTAATCCAACTGAAATAGGAAAATACTTGGTTAATTCTCCTTCTGTTAGAACACAAGTAACAACTCTATTATACATATCTTTAATAACTTGAATACGTCATATCAACACCTTTCTTTTTTAGAACTCTCCAAAATTTTTTTTTGGAACATTATTGTAAGCTTTTTCTAAATCAATAAAAATCATATGTTGATCCTCCTTACTCTCTTTGTACTTTTCCATCAAACCTCTCAATAAATGTATAACTTTTATAGTAGACTTGCCCGCATAAATTTAAACCGATTATGAGAAATCCTTATCCCGTTTTAATTTATGTTCAGTTACATTCTCTCATAATTTTAAAATATGACATATTAACTTAATTCCTCTATACACACTATTGTGCATCTCTTTGTTCTTAAAAATGGGGACCAAAATATTTCTTCTCCACTCCTCAGGTATGTTTTAAGTTTTCAAAATAATATTAAAGAGTTTAGCAAACAAAAAAATTCTCAAATCTCTCAAATATTTCCACACTTCAATAGGAATATCTTCGAATCCTACTAATTTTCCGCCATTAATTTTCTTAAAGTCTCCTCAAATTTTTTTAACTAATGCGACTTTAAAAATAAAGAAGTTTTATTATTATTAACGATTTCATGATCATCAAGGTCGATCGTATTTCAAAAAATTCATTGAATTTTTTTTAAAATAGCTCACCCACATATGTTGAATATCTTTCTATAAGAATTTTTTTTTTATTTTCATCTTTACACTTTATTTGAATTAAATTTTTACTTTTGTTTTTCTTTTTGTTTGGCTAGTTTGTACATATATTTTTCACTAGTATCTACGATATTATAAAGATCACTAAAAATACAATTTTTAGTGGCACAAATTATTCTCTTTGACTCCATACGGGTCATCTTATATTTTTTCAGTTGTCTAAGTTCTTACATTTAAACTAATTTTTATAACACAATATATATTTTATCTTTTCATGCACATTAATGAAGAAAATAATAAAATAAAATAAAATAAAATATGCGTTCAGTCCATCTTCTGTTATGGCGGACCCCGTAAACACATATCGTGGGAGTTCTACGTCTTGTGTCCTAACATCCCTCATCACTCTCCGCAGGTAGGAGATGCTTTACCCTCATCTCTGGAAACATTCAGATCCTTGTAGCACGGTGATAAGTATGCGACATTAAAAGTGACAAAAGTATTATAGTCTTTCGGTAAGTCAATCTTGTAGGCATTGACAATAATCTTCTTAACAATCTGAAATGGGCCATCAACTTTAGGCCCCAAATAAACATGTAGGAAATCACTCATTCTTCAGCCTGATCAATATCATATTGCCTTTTTTGAAAATCATAGCTTTCTTGGATTTGTTAGCCTATTTCTAAAACTTACTGTTATGTTTGACAATTTTCTTCCTAACTTGTTCGTTTAAGATCCGAGTGTCCTTGAATCGAATCTCAACATCCGTGCTAAGCTTAGTAGCTGACAGTAGTGGGATTAACTCCAAAGGTGTAAGAAGGTTCTGTCCATACACAATCTCAAAGGCACTGTGCTATGTGGATCTACTAGTAGAACGATTATGGGCAAAATTCACTCGACGATGAACCAAATCCCACTGTTTGATGTTCCTTCTCTCAAAGCATCTAAGAAAGTTTCCCAAGTTGTACTTTACAGCTTCGGTCCGCCTATTTGTCTAAGCGTGAGTTGCTAAACTAAACTGAAGTATTTTACCTAACTTTCCTCATAAAATCCTCCAAAAGAGGCTGCAAAATTTAACATCTTTGTTCAAAGTGATACTTCTGGGTATCTCATAAAGACGAACAACCTCCTTGAAATACAAATATGCAATATGCGACACATTCATTCTCTTATGGAAATGAATAAAATGCGTCATTTTGGAGAAACAATCTACCACGATCATGAAAAAACCCTTACTTTTTTATGTCCGGGGTAAGCTCACTACAAAATTTATGATCATGTCCAACAAAGATGTCTCTGGAACGAGAGGGGGAGTGTGCAGACCCGTGTTCTGCCCTTGAGTCTTAGCTAAGTTGCATACTATGCACCATCTGACACGCCTATTCACATCTCGTACCAATCCGGGCATGTAAGAATTCTCATTCATAAAGGAGATGTCCCGCCATTCTCACGTTGTGACATTCCTATAAAATATTCTCCCCAAGTGAATTCCAAGGAATGCATAACGTATTCTAAAAGAATAGGTATCCATTAGATTTGTGATACTACTCGTATGGTCTATCCTGTCATCGTATCACATAATCTTAAGAATTCTTCTTGATGATTGGTGATCCTTGTGAATGATTTAATCCTAGTTGGTTTAACTTCATAGAGATATCAACCACTTGAGAAGCCAAAATAGAAAGAATATCAGTGTCATGTATGCTAGTTATCTTCTTATGTTTCATTCTATCATAAGACCATTGAAAGTTATTCGTTGTCATCTCTTCAATTAAAGAATAAGCCTCATAAAAATGTTTCGACATAAGAGATCCACTTGCAAATACGTTAATGATAGACCTAATAGATCTTATGAACCCATTATAAAAAGGCTGGATAATCAACCAATCAGGTAAAGCATGGTGATGACACTTTTTAAGGAGTTTCTTAAATCTTTCCCAGACTTCATAAATAGATTCACCTTCAAATTGGCTAAAGGAAGCAATGTCATTTATAAGTTTGGTTGTTTTTTAACGTGGAGAGTATTTTGGTAAGAATTTCTGGGCAAACTCATTCCATATCCTAATTGATCTAGGAGCTAAAGAGTTTAACCACATTTTGATTTTATCCCTAAAGGATAAAGGGAAAAGCCTTAGCCTCACAGTGTCGTTGGAGACACTTTTGTAGCAAAATATAGCGCATAGTTCTAAAAAACTCGCTAAATGAAGG